CGAGAGGATGTTGATTGTGTCGGGGTAGGAGAGTTCTCGTATAATCTTTAAGTAGTCAGACTTATACCAAAAACTCCCCCATCAGGTTACCCCGACTAACGTGAGTATGCCCTTCTCCGTAAGGGTTGCCCCGGCACCATTACCGTGTCCCCGAAGGGCTATAGGTGTCAGCGCACTCTAGCAGAAATCTCTCATATGCACATCAGTTCCTGCGAGGTGTTTACCAATACACCTGCCGGAGTGAAAACTTTTGCACATCGGTGTCCCGTCAGTGGCTAACTGTCGAGACCCTTGGGAAAGCTAACTAAATGACTCTCTTCCCATATGCTATGACCTATGCAAGCACTCGTAGACATTAGCTGTCCTCCGGCTAAGTTCTATCTTTCTTGATTGCGAACTTAGGGGGTCTACGACGCTCCCCCGGAGAGCTGTGTCGGTGGCGGGACCCATAGGCGCTACCAATGGTCCCTTACCCCCGTCACACCACTCACCGTGATAAGTGTCATGCTATTAGAGTCTTCAAACAACCCACAAAGAGCCTACGGCAAAGGGGCACGTGTAGGCTTGATTGGCGTAAAACCTTTTCAGATGTCTCCGGCACTACCCGGGACTCCTCTGGGGACCCTTCCGGATAGCTCACGCTAACTCCGTCAGTTTTGGTCCGTTTTACTCCATTCCTTTTGGAGAAGGTACCTGACCTTCTCACCTTGGCCCCCTTATATATCCTGCGAACAGCTTCCGGTCGGACGGACGGCGACGACGCATACAGTGTTATGGACATGTCTTCATAGATTCCATTTAACTAGCATAACGGCAACTCCACCCATTTTGGCCCATGACGCCCGGGGCGAACCCTGGGGCCGCAGGTACCTGTTAGGAATAATTCTACCAAGTTACAGCTTGTTTGGAGCACTATAGCTCCTCCCGTAGTCTTCCGATCAAAGTGCAATCAAGTGCCTATCGATCGTCATTGCGTAACAAACAATCCTAACATTTCCCGAAATTCCTCCGAGAACATTTCCGACGGGAGGTAGGGTAATAGTGTCCCAAAGGTAGGGTAAGTATGTCCATGGTGACACGAAACCAGTCTCCATGGTAGGGTAATGTGACTTCCTTGGCTAGGGTAAACTCACCCGGCCTTCTGACCTATCCATAGGCCAGAGCGGACATTGTCACGTTATTACCACTACTTAGGTACACCTATTCCTTAAGTACCTTCTGTTCTTAGAGATTTCGGCACCATCAGATATCTCTCGGATATGCGCCTGCATATCCGCCTCGTCTACCATCTGACTTCTTGGTCTCATGTATGGGCGTAGACGTAGATTACCATAGCTCTATATCGTAGGATCGTTACACATACAATCTTTTACAGGCAATTCTTTTATTTCCTCCTAAAAAACAAGCAACAGACTAGCCAGTACCTGCATCTCTCAATCAAGAAACTTATGCTGCCCCCTTTCCTTGCCCTTCTGTCATGTAAGTAACAATCAGTATACACAATTAGAACTGACTAGAATTGATCTCCCACTTACTCTTAATACACCCATTACCACTACTACTACGAATATAGGTTGTGAAGGCCTTTAATCTTTGCTCCATTATGCCAAGCTTCTGGGGATCATTCAGGACAATAGGCAGTACACTAGTAGCAATTAGTTGAACCTGGTTGATGCCCTTAGTAAGGTCCATTCGGGTATTGTAAAAATATTTGCTAACTTAGTCAATTTGTACCCCAAGGTCATGCTTCACTCTGTTAAGTTGTCCTTCAAGATTATACTTCACTCTACTGAGCTGTCCTTCAATATTTTTCCTAAGTTTTCATTTAGTTTTTTTCATAAGTATAATCCTCTTTTCTGTGGACATCCGGGCCTGGCATGACCTACTAGGAATAATACAAAAACTCAGCACAAATACCCATTGCTGCTAGGTTTGTAAGTTTCAAGATGAGTTCTTAAATAATATCCATTAGTCAACCAGAAATTAAATAAGGGTCAAATAAATAGGTATTCATACTCGAATAAGAAGACATTGCCAGTAATTGAAGAAAATTAAGGAGAGGGGAAATAGGTAAAGGAAAAGTGTATGAGGAAAAATAAAGAAAAGATTGATGGTAGAGAATTATAGTGGTGTGAGAGGAACTTTCTTAGAAGCCAGAGAACTGCTCTCAAGTTACCCAATTGAAGTTGTGTTTCTGTTTGAAGTACAATATATCTTGGCATAGTAATAGGTGCTGTTTCATAAGCAAAATTTGAAGTGCCAGACAAGAATAGTCTTGTCATCAATTTTCCTTTGAAAACATTGATCGTACTCCTTCTCTTATAATTCATTTTTGTATGCTTATTTTTTTTTTATTAGCCCTGAGCCTGCAAGACATGAAAGAACATACTGTACAAGATAGCAACTCTTTTGCAAACGTCTGACCCATCCTCAGTACTTCATGATATTTGCATCTGGTACATTGAATGCTGCCTATGAAACTAGCCCCATTGCTACACCAAAATGCATTATACCCCCAAAGGAAATGCGACTTCATTCCGGCGACTTGAGTACAGTGAGTGAATGAATCTACACTGGTAGGGCTCTTGCTTGGCTGTGCGGTGCTTTAGTCGGTTTTTTGTTTTTCCCTTCTCCCCGCCTTGTTTGGCCAGAGATGGGGTTGCTCAACAAGCCTGGTGGCGGTACGCTTGCTGAATCCACGGAGCAAGGAGAAATTCTTAAAATCCTGTGGCCCACTATTGGGCCACCATGTCAAATTCTTTTTCTGCTACTCTCTTCTCACTGATGGCGGGGCGAGTAGGAGTTAGGTAAGATTGGAAGAAGAGTTTTCCCTGCAGTGGGAAGGGAGTGGGGAAACACGATACCCGTGGTAATTAGCCAAGACATCAACCTCATGGATGGATGAGCCAAGGAGGCATTCGGATGCTTTCTTACCTGCACGAGGGCGTGACCTTGGCCCTAATGGCGTAACGCAAGTTTTTTTTTTTCCACAATGGCACATGCACTAGTATTGTCTAGGCCAAGCGCAGCCTCATAAAAGTTACAAGTGTACCTGGAATTGGCCATGACGGGCAGGTGAGCACCAACGAAGTGCTGCGATCTCGTGCACCGGTATGGCATTTGTGCGTCGTAGCGTACGTACGAGTACAGTAGGAGCAAACAGTCTCGAAAGAGGACTCAAAAAGCAGGTGCCATCGACCCGATGAATGAACAGCCATGCCATCTCGCCGGTCGCCGGAGAAGGACAGAAGGGGTAGGAGTGCCGGCGGTTCTTATTATAGCTTCTTCCTTCCCTGCCAATACTGTAAGCATCAAGTATCGTTCCCGTACGGTACCGGTAGCCTCGGGATTGGATCCCCCAATCGAATAACGCTATGCCCGTACCAGTGCAGCGCTCGTACGGTACCGTATCTTGTCGGTACGGTGGGTAGGAACCCCTCTGAGAGCCAGAATGACACTCGCATGATTGAGCGAATTATTTTCACCACACGCGTATCAGAAAAGGTCGACTTGCACCCGTGCAGTGCAGCGCAGAGAACTAGCCACGAGGGAGAGGTGAGACAAGCTTCGTTAGTACTTGTAGACTGATAAGAGGGGTGGGAAAAAACCGTAACCTCGGGCCTGTTGACATAAGGTACCGGTAAGTGTACCGGTAGTGTGAGATCGCTTTGGGGTGTAAGGTACCGTACCATAACGTGCCAGAGTAGAAGCGAGGTGGCACAGGACAGATCTTGTTTTTTTTTGTTTTTTGCCACTCCCCCCCACTCCTCTTTACCCTCTTTTTTTTTTTTCCCTTTTTTTGCCCCCCGCGAATGATGGGGGAGCCGCCGTGTGTGGCGTACCTGTGCGTACGCGTGCGACGGGTACGAGTGGGCACGGCAAGCGCGAGAAAGGAAGTTGGAGCAGGGTGCCATGCCGGACGGGGGGGAGAGGGATGTTCACAGGGGAGAAATGTGATCTGTATGTGAGCACCCGAGCGGCTCGGCGGCGGGATTTACCCTGTTTCCCCTCGCTGTTCCTACCGCGATGTTTTTCTCTTCTAGAAGGAAGTGTGCTGCTGTGCTACCGTTTCCCATTCATTCATTCGCTTTCTGTTTCTATCCTGTGGGAAGCTTCATCCCAGTCCAACGCGGAGGGCCACGGTGGAAGGTTGAATTGTGTTCTTCTGGTGCTGGCCGCCGGATCATCCGACCCTGGATCCCGTCGTGGAAGGGAGATAATTATGGTGGCTTGTTGAGGGCGCCCGATGTAGTGGTGCCAAGCGCCAAGCAAAGCATAGAATCTAACCCATACAGATCGGGCAAGGGGAAATTTGTTGTTGTGAGGGCATCTGGGACTTCGACCCCTTTTCTGCATAACATCACTTTTTTTTTCTTTTCCCTCTGCACCTGCGGTGTGAGAATTCTTGTATCTTGGGTGTCGGTATGGCGGTGGATATGATCCTACGAGCATCTTCAGAGCCCACTTTTGCTATTGCAGAGACGAGGCATCGGGATACTTCCAGCACTTCTCTCGGTAAGCCCCATAACAGTACCTGTAGAGAAATGGCGGTAACGTGCTCAAGGATTGCCCTTGCCTGCAACGTCAGTAGCCCGTCTATCTGTCGTCTGTTCGCTCGGTCGTTGTTTGCTAGAGTTAGCCAGCACACCGACGATAGAACTTGAACTGAGCGCAGCTCTCCCCTTCCTGGGCCTGGAGAGCGGTTCCCTTTTCCACCCTGCTGCCTGTTGGCAGATCCCTTCTCTCTCTCCCTCGCTCCCTTACTGTACGAGTACTAGTACAAGCGGGCACTCTACCAGCACTGCAATCTCCCGCTCCCCTTCTTCCCTCTCCCTCCCCTTTTCGCTCCCCCCACCCTCCCTTCCCCATTCCTTTCCCCTTCGCTCCATCATCCTCCCCTGCACAACCCTCAACCACACCACACCTCACCCCTCCCCGGCTGTCTGTGGCTTTCGTAGTTTTTACCACCCTCCTCCGCAGCTCTGTTCTTTCATTGAGGGGTTCGTTTGACTTGACGGCTTGGTGCTTTTCTCTCTGCCCAGGTGACCAGTTTCTACCCTATGTAAGCTGATGTGCTCTCCCTTCTGCTTCATTCCATTTCCCTTCTCCCTTCCATCCTTCCTGCTGCTCGCGTGCTGGTAGGTGAGGGTTTTTCCCCCCCCCTCCCCTACCGGTGTTCTCCTCGGGTTCTCCTGCTCTGGACGCGCGAAAATAAAACATTGAGCTGGTGTTGACGGAAAGCTAACCGCTCGATACCAGTAGCCTGGAGCTTACGACTTCGCGCTTTAAAAGTCCTGGCATCCCCCGTTTCCCCGCGCATTTCTGAGCAAGCGTAACTCGTCGTCAATTGAAATTCGGCCCCTTTCGACTCGGCAAAGGGATAGACACCGGTCAATGGTTGAGCCCCAATCAAACAATCCCTACAGAAGGAGTATGTCTCCGCAACCTCCCGCCCCCCCAGCCCCTGCGGTTCTACCAGAAACGACAAACTTATCGGCCCATCCGGCTCCTCTGCAGAAATCATACTCGACCACCACTACCATTGCCGAGGAACCCGAATCGGAAGATGCTGGAGGTCGAGCCCGTGCTCCCACGAATCCACCCGTGATTCCCACAGTATCCCTCCCCCACGCGTCCAAGTCAGCGGACAAGTCGACATCTGACTCGATTGTTATTACCATTCACCCGACCTCTTCGACATGCACTGTTCAGAATCCCGCTGAATACCCTATGCCTCGAACTTCCCTGTCTACGCATCCCCATCCAAGACATTCCCTGTCATGTGAGGAGGGGAAGCCGTGTAATGCGTGGCCCGCTAGGAGGTTCCTGCAGAAGCAAGTCATGAGGAACAAGACCAAATGGATCATCATCAAGGTTGTCTGCGCCGTTCTATTTGTGGTTGGGGCCGTAGCTGTCGGGTTGGGAATCAGCCATGCTACCAAGAACAAGATCAACAGGTCTAGTTAAGCTCGGGTGGTCGCCCTAGGTTTCGGTGGATAATCTGTTTATAGTTGGGAATGCAAATGCAGGGGAGAAAAGGGAGTTCCCTTCGTGGGTATTGCGAATACTCTGGCATTATATGGGCGGTTGGTTTTCGGTCTCGTCTCGGCTTTTTCTTTCCTTCTTTTCCTTTAACTCGTCGCGGTCCCATTCTATTGTATATTTTTAACCTTTCCCGATTTGTGCGGTTTTCCTCTTGATGTCAGTGCTGGAGGAGTTGAGCCATTTTACATCCTTTTTCTAGTTTCCTCTTTCCTGTTGGAGTTTTTTCTTAGTTTGGGAGAATCCGAAGCGGAGTGAAGAACGCAAAAAAAACAAACAAACAGGGAAAGGACTTGTATTTCGTACTCGGTCTCGTTTCTTTCTTTTCCTTTCATTATTGCAAAGCGATTTAGGTTTGCCCAAATCGCACGGATAGGCGTTTATTTATGTATTTACCCCCCCCTTCCACCTTTCTCGCTACGTACCTACCCAAACTCTATCACGTCTCATCAAAACATCATTCTCATGGGTTTTCCTTTTTATTTTATTTCTTTCATTTTTCTTGGTTCGGCGATGGAGGCGGTTCGGCATTGTTTTTTTTTTTTACCCATTTTCCTTTCTTTTCCGTCAACCCCTCCAAAGATGGAGAAGAGATTAGGACAACATAGAAGCATCATATCGGCAAGGAGGGTAATTTATGGTATTTGGAGAGTGATGGGTTAGATTTTTGCGTGAACTCGTCGCGTTTGTGATCTGGCTTTTGAGGTACGATTGAGTATGTTGGCTATAGTTGCGCTGGTATGGTAGCACGGATCGCTGTCGTCATGATGAGGTTGGTATCGTTGAGTTGAGTTGTTGAGTTGGTGGAATACCGGTAACAGATAATGTAATTCGAGTGAAGGTTTGTGATGTATCGCTGGTGAAGCACAGGGGAATCTGGATAATAGTCATCATGTGTCACTCGTTGGGTGGTAAATAGTAATCAGTTACAGGTCATGTGATTTGGATGGATGGTAACCACAATAACTATCCACCCCCCCCCCCCCCAACGGAGGAGGAACAGGAGCGGGAGGACGTGCCCCCCCTTTCGCATTGGAAGATGCCGTAGTGACCGAATGAAGAAGGGATTCGCACCGAACCGCGCGTTTCCGCCCATCGATTTATGCCAAGTTAGTGAGGTATCGTGCCGCTTCGGCCGCGACAAAAATTGCAAAAACGCACATGTATCGCCAGCTGGAGCTTGGGAGGTTAGATGGAGGTTGGTACAGACTTTCCTTCCCTTCCTACCTTACCCCCCCCCTCGCTCAAGGACCAGAGCGCGAAAGCTCGAATACAGCGGGACTTTAGAAGTAAAGACATCTTATGGTTCATCCCATCCCATCCCATCTATCATACCTTCATCTACACCCCCGTCAACAACAACTGTACAAATCTTCACGATATAATACTTGTAGAGGTATCCTAGATTTGTTCCGATGTGTGGTACGGACGTCCCGTTCATTCCGGTGCGGATCTCGTGAGTGAGTGGAGAGTACAGTACGATGCTCGGGTTCTTGTTCACATTCTGGACGGCGGGATGACTGATGCCTGCCTGCGAGCCTATGGAATGACACAGTGCTCATGGTCGTCGGTCGGGATATCCGTTGGGGTTTAGAGGTTATTGTGGGAGAATAGGAAGGTTCTCGACACCCTTGTGGTGAATTATGGGTGTCCCTTTTCTTTTTTTCGATGGGGTGTTTGGATTATTTTCTGCTTCTGGTCTGCTTGGGGGTTTTCTGATGCTGGTTGGCTTGAGTCGGATCGTTTGTGCTTTGCTTATAAGATGGGAATCTGGAGGCTAGGGAAGGGTTTGTATATGCATCACTTGTTTCCGCGCCAACTGAGTTACTCGTTTGTCCGACTTGGGTGATATTTTTTGTTCGAATTCTTTGAGATATCTGCCTGTCTGCCCGTCTATCCTTTATCTATTGACTGATACAATACAATACAATACAATACAATATAAGAAATAGTGGGATGTGGTTGGTTTCTAAATCTTCTGAGATAACCCCCTAACAGAGGTGAAATTCGGGGATCATTGGGGAAGGGAAGAGGGAGGAAGAGAAAGGAAAGAGCAAAGGCAGAGATATTATAGGGCAGTGCCGTGGATTCGGGGGGTCAGAGTAGGGAACTGGGAAGAGGACGATGTTAGCAGCTTCACTATTTCCTCATGCCCGTTCTGGGCTGCCCACGAGAGTGCCGTCTTGCCGGAGGGTAATTCTAGCCTGATGGGGTTGACATCTTCTCGTTCTAGGAATAGTTTCACTATCCCCTCATGCCCGCTCTGTGCGGCCCACGAGAGAGGTGTCTTGTCAAAATATGAGTCTGGCCTGTCGGGGTTGACGTCTTCTCGCGCCAAGAATAGTTTAACTATTCCCTCATGCCCTTTCTGGGCGGCCCACGAGAGGGGTGTCTTGCCAAAAAAAATCTCTGGCTTGTCGGGATTGACATCTCCTCGTCCCAGCAGTAGCTTCACTACTCCCTCGTGTCCGTTCTGGGCAGCAATCGTGAGTGGTGTCTGGCCCGTGTATGTACCCGGTCTGTTTGGGTTTACATCCCCCCGCCCTAGCAGTAGCTTCACTACCCCCTCGTGCCCACTCTCGGCGGCCCACGAGAGCGGTGTTTTTTCGTAAGAGGTATCTGAGAGGTCGGGGTTAACGTCTTCTCCTTCTAATAGTAGTCTCACTACTTCTTCGTGCCCACGTCTGGCGGCCCATAGGAGTGGCGTTAGACCCGCGCCATCTCCTCGATTGGCATTCCACCTTTTCAACCCCTTCAAGGCGAGCGCAACTTTGTCAATGCCAAAGAACGACACACAATGCAATGAGGAAAATCTCCCATCCCAAATAACGTTGGGGGGAGCGATTGCCCGGAAGAGCAACTTGGCGGAGATGTGGTTATTGTAATGGTCAAGAAGCTCGAGGGCAAGTGATTCCGCGCGACTAGAGAGCTCCACTTTAGCGTGGGTCCCCCAATATAAAGATGAATATTCCAGAAAGGGTGTGCTTTGGGTGTCGCAGGGAGAATCAGCTGGGATATCCCTGATACACTGGAAATTTAGATAGGTCAAGCACGTTTCCGCTATTATTGGGTGGGCTCTACCAAGAAAGTTGGGGCGAGAGCGAAGATACTCCTGGAGGGTAAAATGAATCAGGCGGACGGTTGAGGCCTTTTTATCTACGACGACAAGTCCTTTGCAGCAGCCTAACAGTGTCCGTATCGAAGGCACATTGTCGGCATTGAATCTGGGTGAGCCTATCTCGATCGCGAGGGCATGGCACAACTCCTTCACCAGCAATGGCCGTTCCGAATGGGAGATCCACATCAGGCTGGCAATCCCGAGTCTTGCTTTCTCCCCACCCTGCGCCCTTATGCGCTCTAGAGTTGCGCTGTAAGCATCCCCCAGTCCAAGGCCATCTGTAATTTCTCTTAACTTCTCTCGTCTCTTGTATATAGTCGTTTCCTGTAGGACTGCCTCAATGTTCAAGGAAACCAACAAAAATCTAGACTCATATATGTCAGCGGGAGACGTGGGACAAGTTTCTTGGTGGCTTTTCTCATACGCACATTTCCGATATAGTTTCGGGAATAATTTTTACAATGGCCTCCTTCAGATTGCTGTCCATCGCGTCGGGGATATTGTCCTCATCTAATCTGGCCTGGAGGTATCCTGTGATATCACCTCTGCTAGCACTTATGGACATAATCGCTACTCTTCCGGCAAGACGTTTTTCCACATCGTCACGGATATGGGGTCTCCCGGTCAGGAAGATTCGAGTACTCGGCGACCCCCGGAGAATCTCCTTGAGCGAGTCAAGGACCCTGGGTTGATGCTCTTCCGGACATTCATCGAGAGCGTCAATGCATAAGAACGTGCGCTGGGAGGACGAGGTGATTTGTAACATCTTGACGATTTCCCAAACTAGCAATCCCCGCCCGCCTATGACGCTTTTCTGGCTGTGGAATGCGTGCACTATTTCGTCAGGAATCCTCTCCATTCCACCAACGACCTGCCTCAGCAGGGCACCGAGCATATTTGTAGGTGTCTGTTCCTGCCGGGCGGCAAAGTCGAAATAGAAGCAGGCAACGGCGGCATTGTCTCCCATGGCCTGATCACACAAAGCATCAATCACTAGCGAACTGGAATTGTGACTTGTCAGCACCGTGCTTGCCTCCTACTCACCCCCTTGAGGGTCATCTCTTACCTGAGATAGGTCTTGCCGACCCCCGGGTGGCCGTAGCAAAACAGAGAGGCAGTATCAGCCTCATCTCCCCCGTTACCCTTGATCCAGCCCCTAAATTCCGCTTTCTCCAGGAACCAGTCCCCAACGCTAGCAAACCGGCATTCCCGAATGTCCTGATGGCGTATCCGGGGCTCCAGTGGAGATAGCCAAGCCAGAAGCTCGGATCTCTCATCCGCGACAGTCGAGTTCCATATGTTAAAGGTGGCGTTATTGAAACTTCCCGAGTTCGAACTGAAGTACTGAGACATAATTTCTCGCTCTCCAATATCCGGGGTAATGGGCTACGGTACTGAGGATGATCGGTTGACGGAATCCATAGGAGCTGAAAAAAAGCGGGGTCATCATGATCCCGCAGCTTGGTACTCGAGTATGATGGGTATTAATAGATAACGCTTGGCTTCGTCAACCAGCCAAAATTTTGAGACACTGGTAACGGGACTCGAGTAACTTATGCTGGTATCGGCTGGCGTACAAGTGTATGTACGCGCGCCGTATTGCATGCTAAATGGACAGCTCCAAATATCTAGATTTCAGCAAATAGTGGCGCAGCTCACGTGATACCTTCGCTTATATAATTTAACATTAACCGCTCTTTTTCTAATTGTAGGGTGGCAGCGATCATTCGTGGAAATTTAGGTAACTCAGTTTGCCTTTTGACGCGGGAATAGTAATCCGAAATTCTGAAATCTTATTCCAAACCTCTGTGGGGAGTTATGCAATTGGGGGGGGGGGGGGTTTGCACAACACAACACAAGCTCAGCACAACTACCAGTAGATGTTGGCATTATGGTGGGTCGAAAAAATAAAGACCGCCAAAGCAGCGCTTCTGCTCTGCCACCTTCTCGCAGCAGCCTCGGCACCGTATCTCAGAAGAAAGATCCCTATTTTGCAACTCTCGAAGAATGACCGGTACAAGATCTCGAAGATTGGTGGTGTATAGCGTATGGGTTGTCTCATTGCTGGGAGCTTAAGAAATTGCGAGAGCTTATGAATAACTGTGATAGATTAATCCATGGGCTAGTGGGATGACCTTACCCCCGGCCAAATACTGATGGATTTACTTTTCGGGAGTCTTCTCCCTTACATTTCTGAATGGGGATTATGGGGATTTTAACAGTTTCGTGGAACTTTGGATGTGGCAGTGGCCGGGGATCCTCAATGCCACAGCCCATTCGTCTTCCGATCCCATTCCGCGATAACACTCAGTATTCCCGCAAAAACAAGAAGCGCAGATCGTAAACGCACACACAGACTCTCCTACTGCACCCTCCCTCAACCTTCGGAGACGCCGGTTGCCATTCGTTAGTTTAGAGGAGGAATTCGCACCAATTCTCACTCCGCAGTGGTGGGACGAGAGGGAAACAAACAGACAATCAAGTCTCTGATTCTAAATTTTTCACGAATGGGAGGTCTTACTTGAGCGGTGCCTGAGCATGCTTCTTGCTTTTCCTTATGATACCACTGCAAGAGATGCATTGTGTCACGGAGGATCACTCAGTTGGGTATACCTCTCAAAAAGTACAAGTACAGTAAGGAAGCGAGCAAGCACGGGTTGAAAAAAAAGATGCCTTAAACAGAGGAGTGACTATCGTGATTATATTTCGTAGGGCGCAGTCTAGCTAAAGGTTAGGCAATGAGAAGCGACAGTATCACGATAGAGTTCTTGTCAAAAATAGTTCGACGGTACGATATGATGCATAAATAATAACCCCCCCCCCTCCTCCGAAAAATATGTTTTGCCAACTACCTGATCGTACCAATAATACTCTCAGTTGTCAACCAAGTATGATACACCCATTCCAATAGATATGATTGGTTCTTATGGGATATCAGTTATTCTCTATCCTCTTTCGGGATTGTGATCATCTTCCTATACTACCGTAAAAAACTCAAATGCTTGGACCATGTGCTATGGAGTTCGAAATTCCCTTTTCTGGAGAGGGGGCAAAATGATACGGAAACAGCACAGCCCCTTTTCCCCCCTCCTGGGACAGGGGAACTTTAGAGATGCCTATTAACAAACCGTTTAAAGATCTTATCCGTGACCTTACCGAAGAGTAAATTCCCAAGCCAGAGTCTGCACAGGAATTTAAGAAGTAGAGTGTTCAGGATTCTTGTATCATTACGCATTATATTCAAAATGATTTTTCCCCAGTTTTATGATGGAAAGTCAAATCCACTAGTAATTTGCAGCTTATTTCTTAAGATCCGTTTATCGCTTTCCATCGACAGTAACTTAGATCAAGAGCTCAAAATTAATAGATTTGAGATTTTAGACATTGGAAACTAGATAAATTTACATGATTTAGGAACGCTGGATAAAAGGGCTGATGCGGAGAACGAGGGCGATCAGGGGATCGGATTTGTATCTAGTGAGCCGGGAGAGGGTTAAGGTTATTAGAGAGGGTTTTTTCTCCTAAAGGATTAGGAAAAATTAATTATGCCGTTGTACTAGTACCGTACTTGTATCTAGAGTGGAACAGAATGCCAGTGTAATCTGACCGATATACCAGCAGAGCAACCATTTGGGTAGTATGATCGTATACTCTATTCTCTCAGCTACAATACCGGCACTCTTTAACGTAATTGCAAATATAAGACAAAAAGAAATCGAGAGCATCTGGGCTCTTCTACGGATCTGCTTATATCGTATGTCCTCCGCATATATCCACTTTCCTCCTCATACCTTTTGGACGTCCGGATCCTGTAATCTCCGCATCATGGCTCCTCACTCGATCTCTTGGCTTAATTTCGCTTATCCTCTAGGGCAAGAGCCAAGGCATGATCCCCAATGAATGATAGATTTAAAGGATTTTTACGGCATTGCTTAATCTAGGGCCGGGTGTATGCGGTGCTTCCAGTCATCCGGGAGAACAGCCGACACTAATACCGGTATTAAAATGTGCTCCCACCCAGCCACTGCTCAGCCCTGGAATGAAGATAATAATGAGGCGAAATATGCTGGCAGATTATACTTAGGTAGCCTGAGTACAGTACAGTCCGACAGGCGTCCACTCCGTCTGGGACCGTGCCGGGGCCGTCCACCCCGTCCAAAGACGAGATATTCTCGTCCTCTGCCGTCCCCACCCCGGCCTGGACTGGAAGCACCGGGTTCATGGGTAATCACCTTGTTTCTGCGTACCTCTGGAGTGAGGGAGGTTTTTGCACCACACAATCGGTGGGCAGTGAACTCCTCAGGAGCCTCGTTGTGAACCGGGATCTAGGCCAAGAAAGTCGCTCTAGGGAGGGGAGGCTGGGGAGTTTGTAATGAAGGAGGTTTAAGAAGATGGCTCTCCAAGTGCCCGGAGGTCTAGAAGCTAGAGGTGGCGATGATTGCTTACTCTAGCGTGGGGAATCGAGCTGAATCAAAGAATTCCCTCTGGAAGAGCTCCCTGGCTATCATTTCATGGATTTTCACTCAATATGAATCGTTATCGGGCGATTGGACACCCTTCCTCCCCCTAATTCCCGTGGACGGACCTATGGGGCTGGCACAGCGGTTCTCAAGAATAAGAAACAACTCGTCCCTCTTCCCCGTGAAACTTCTAGGGGCGAAGCGCTCGGCACTTCCCCTCTGTCTGCTGGGAGGCAAAGGATGCCAAGAGTCACATACGTAGACATTTAATCTCCTGCACCCGTGATAATCCGGACATTCTGGAATTCTGAATATAAAGGATATGATATACCTATGGGAAGCCGCTAGTTGTCAAAGGCCTCGCGCTAGGATTATACCTTAGCTATAGAACCGTCTAGTGCCGTGAAGGCTTTTGCGACATATGCCCCCACCCCTCGAAGAGGATAAGAACCGTAAAGATCTCGTCGAGGGCGGCGCGTCGTATGATTTTCTATACAAGAGATGCACTCCAGGGTAATTTGCTGACCTATTGACGGAACGACCGTCGGGTCCCCGACAATCAAGGGAGGCTCCGTAATAAGCCCTTGTATGGCGGATGCGCTACACAGATTTTCTTGTCCAGGCCATAATGCGGAGTTCCGCAGGCCGGGAGATAGAGCCGGAAATATCCTGCACACACTGATGTAGTTCCAAACGAGCTTTCTAGATACCGCTGAACCATGATGGGCCCGTCCCACGTGTGTGCAAGGAGTGTTAGATTCGGGACTTGGACAGTTTCTGACTGTCACTGAATGGGATACAACCCCAGTATACCACCGTATCGCCGAGTGCGCCCGGGAATAGGAAGGAGCCCCGGTAAATGGGAGCCTCGTGCTCTAGCCCACCTTTCCACTCCTCATGAAGTACTGATTTATCAATAACCCCGATTCACACACCCCAAGTGGTGTCTACCCACTTCGGCAACACCTGTGATGTTCAGTTCCACCAGAGCTTGTGATGCTCTCATCCGCTATGTTCTAAAGCCTGCCGTTTGTGAGGCCGCTCTGGTAAAACTTTCGCTTACGTATGCAACCAATTTCGAGGGCTCCGTTTGCGACTCTATCCTTTGAGTTGAGCCTTGTGACAGAGACGTCAGTCCAAGAAAATTTGAATAGTTCAGTCGAGTGAAATGAGATCACATGCGTCTCGGAGATAACAGGTCCCGAATACTGGACAGTGCTAGGAGAGATTGGTTTAGAGCAAAACTTCCTTATGTGTGCCGACCATCGCTTCCGCACTCTCAAATTAAATGTAACCTACCCCGAGGAGGGCGTCGGGCTCGGATAAGGCCTGCAAATGAGAATCAATCGAGATCTAAGACTCTCAGGGGTTGTTCGCACCCCGGTCCAAGTCCCGGCAGGCACCTCGGAAGATGCTAGGGCCCGGGATCGCCTGAGAGACAATATAAAAATATCTGTACTCGAGTAGAGGTGCGCTGTGGCATAGGGCAGCCGGAAAGGTCTTCTGCGCCGGGGGCTCTCCTTGGGCGATGGCTCGGACGTCAATGGGCCCATGCTGTCTGTCTGCCTTGGCATGGCAAATCTTCGCTTTCCGGTGACCGGCGGGACGCCGGGAGTAGAGATCCACACTCTGTTGAACCCAACCATTGAAAAATGGCGGTAGCTGGGTAGATCTTTAGGTTTGTTAAGTCCTGCAGGTGTTGGTGAGGGAATATAGAACTATGATGAAATGTCGGATTTGGTGCTCCGCTATGCCGCTGTTGGTTTCTCCCCCCCTCTGATTAGAAATCATGGCGTTCCTCGCGGGCCAAAAAGACTTGGCTATAGCCAAGCAATTGAAAGGCCTGTCAAGGAAACAAGGCGTTTGAGAGCGATCGAAAACGCCTGCACGGCTCTGGGAGGCCGGGATGAGGTTTCGGCCGTGTACAAGTACCTGTCGAGTACCGGTATGATCCTAGTGGCGCACCGCACCTGGAGAGCACAAAACTGGTGCAACCCCCTAACCTCACTGTGCAACCCAGACTCATAATCCGTAGAGTCCAGAACGGCCCCTATTTCCTAACCAAGGAGACCAATACTCGAACGACTTTAAGCCCTCAAATTCAGTACGAGAGCAAAGGCAGCCCCTAGTAGTAAAAGCATATAGCTTTGGCCCGGTAGATGCAAAAACCGGAGGCAGGTTGTAATGATGAATTGGTATTTAATCCTTGATACTCGAGTATTTTGTGCGGTAGGGCACGAGGAATGGTATGATATGATATGGGTTGAGGCCGCGTGGTGCCACCGCCGCCCACCCCCGAGCACATTACGGTGGCGCATCGCCGTGACGGAACCTATAGAGCGGAATCGTAGAGATTATAGGCAGCTCTAAACTCCCGTGCACTCGTTCGGCCAGAAAGCAGGGGTTTCGGATTCGCACAACGCTCGAATGTAACTTGCCCGTGCCCAACCAGAACCACATTTTGATTCTGCTGGACCGTATTTCCTCGCCAAGGCCAAGCGGACTATCCCTAAAAATGGATAGAGGTACAAAGAATTTAAGTAAATAACCGGGGGAAGCCGGTTCAATAGCGAAATGGGGCACGGCATTTCCTGCGCGTTACCTCCCGAAATAAGCCGAGAGGAGTTATTCTCCTTGAGGAATTATATAGAATGTTCTGGTGGGAAAGTTTTCGAGATTCTACGTCACGGGGTGGTTTGAGAGATCGGGCTGAAAGTACGAAAGGTGGAGTTACATTATGTGACTTTCAACTAGGCTGTTTAGGATAGGGGCCATTGATACACAAGTGGATGCAATTTGTTCTTGCACCGCAAGTATCGCCGATTCTCTCCCTCCGGTTTCCCGTATGCCCTAGTGTGCAGGATGAAATTCCTAGACCTCAGGCACTCCGGAATGCCGGACCCTCCAAGCCCCTTACAGGAGGGCTCGGTTTATCGAGGCTTGGAAGCCCCGGAAGAGATTTCAGTCGTAAGTCCATTCGGGAAAAATCTTCACTTACTTAGTATAAAGGGAGTCTGCACAAAGCCAGTGGTATTAACCTACAAGTAAATACTAGGTGCCGCTCCAGAATATTAAGTAGTACAGGGGGTGTAAGGGGGGTGTTATCAACTTCTAGGGACTTCCCCAAGAGCTCACCAGGCTTAGCGTAAGTGGTTATGCCCGGAGAAAAGAAGTCTGTCAGAAGTAAAACAGGGATTGTGTGAATTTCACCAAGTGCTCAAATGAGCGAAAGTGGGAACAGCTCGCACAGTGAAGCGCAGCATCAAGGCCCGGCCACGGAGGCAAGTACTCTCTACTCGTATCTTTACAGGTTGTACGGCTATAGCACTACACACAATGACATTAATATTGCAGTTTAGCGGACACTCCCCCCCTCCTTGAGCGGTGGAACTGCGCCTTGTGTGTTTAGTATGTGCACCTCGAAACGAAAATTCCTATATAAATCACAGCACCTAATTAAGGGCGGTCCTAGGACTCGAGCACCGTGAAGATGTGGCGGAATGAATCGTTCGATTCTACGTGTCAATTGACTTGTAATGCGGAAAGAATTTCTGTATCAGTGACTAAACACACATTTCAGACATTCGTTAAAGAATCGGAACGATAGGGGATCTCCGGCATATATACACATATATAATACCTTGGCCTCTTCAGGAATAGGGAGTATACCATCCTGCCCCAAAATGAAATACCAAACATGCGGAGAAAATAGTTACAGTATCAGGGTGTGGAAGTATTCAGCACACTGAGGATCGGTAAAACCTGACCCCTTTCCCAAGACTTACCGGTATGCTCTCCACACATCGCCCCTTTTGTCTCCAACTGAGACTCCAGGAAAACAAAGCGATACCCCATATTTTCCACCCTGGTTAGAGCAGTACTGCAACTCCAGTACAAACCAGCGAACCCTGCATCCTCATTTATGGAATAGATAAATAGATTATTGTGGCTCTCAGTGTGGTTGTCGCCATTTCAGCTTCGGTTGTTTATCCTATCTATCGTTTACTAGACCGAAAGCAGCGGTAGGGATCTGGTGTTGGGGGTTGACTGCCCCAGCGTTAACGTCCCCAGATAGCTTCTGCAAGTATGAACTTGCCCACTCCCGTGCAAATCAAGCCTGACACCACGTTTCCAGGAGCCAGGGCGGACAAAACCCCGAAAACTGGCCGGAGTTTTCGAGCCGGTAAACCCTAAAAAGAAGGGAAAACATGGACCGAGGAGTTTAAGATGGCTAAAGCCCTAGATCAGGCACGGAATCCTCAACAGCACCCCTTTTCAAGCAAACATCTGCAAACGAGGAAGATACCTGTAGGGAGAGGACTGGGCTCACTCTCACATGGGGTAATATCCAACCCACCAACGCGATATTACGGGTGTGTGCGCAAGTGCGAGTGTTCCGTTTCACCGCCCCAGACTGGCACCATCCCCGAAGTAAAACGGTCGAATGTACCAGCGCGCATCATCAATGGAGAGCCTGCGCACTAAGAGTGATTCTTAGAAGTGTACTCAATGGCTGGTGTATCGGCTGGGGTTTGAGAATGACCGGTAAATCCTAGGGTTTTGAAAGAGTCTATATTAGGGCTTAGCTGGGACAACAAGCTCAAGATATGAGATCCATGTATTTATGCACGAATGCCTGTGCAAGAAAATACTAAATTGCCGACAACTATAACGGTAGATCAGGAGACTCAGGCACAGGGTGGCCTGGACAGCCGACCAAGCTGTCAAGGGTGGAAATGATTAAAAGATATGTAGGAAGAGAACGGTCATGCCTTTTAGAGCATCTGTCCTCTCTTGGTGAGGCATGCTGGAATTGGCTTTTCAGGAGCAATTATTATGGTTGTTTGGTGGGGGTCTAAAGTGAAGGGGCTCGCGAACTCGTGCTATAACCCCGCATGCTTATAGGCTCGCGTTTCGGGGGCACACTCCAGAGTGCCTGACAGCCCAACATCACTATGTGGCTCAACAGTTTTGAGGCTCAATCTAGAACCGTAGCTTATGTAGCCTTATTGCTGAGTGGTATGATTGGTATATTTTGTCTACGTGCGACCTGAATACAATCATTTCTATCATACCTGAACCAGCAGTGAATACTCCCGAAACGCGGGCCTGCAAGCGTCCGGGGGTTGTGGCGCTCACATCATACAAGTGTACCCTCGGCACGAGTATTCTCAATTCTTTTGTCCCTGACCCTTCCCTTGAATGTTGCACATGTTCGCACAGGTTATTACAAGTAACTGATATATATATATATATCTCCTTACCCAAGTCTAACTTTACTCACGCTTCGGAGAGGCTGGGGAAACGTACACCAACATGTCACATCTACGGCACCCTGCCCCTTCTACACGGTGAGCATTCTTTCCTGATGTGCTTTGAATGGAGATACTAAGAGCATAGAACATCACCGGTTTCCCAATCGCAAACGATCCACATCAGGGAACTCCGTCAACTACCACCCACACCGCAAGGGACTCGAAAATGGGCAATCAAGATAACTTCCGGTTCATACAGTACTACACGGATTTTAACAGACCCTTTCGACGCAACACTAGAAACCCGTCTAAGGTGGGCACTAGAAGAGCACGCTCAAAAAGATCCCTTCGAGGACCAAAAGGCAGCCAGAGTTAATCGAGAATTGTGGGGGTATTCAATGAGTCTAATGGAGCAGCTGCGGCTTACAGAGATAATATCATTATCGAAACCGAAGGAAGAACGAGCATCGGAGGGGTGTACAATGCTCGAAGCGTCGATGCAGGGCATAAATGGGAAGAAGTGGTTCGTGGATATTGAAGGTTGGAGCTGGAATTCAGTGGACGGCACACAGGAGGCTTGTATGGGCGGGATTCACTGGGAGGCATTGGAGAATCCGGATGCCTGGCCAGCACAGATGCGACCATGTATCATTGTTCGACGGAGAGCCCCCAGCGCCAGTATGGTTACGAGGGGTCCGATTGTCTGTGTTGGCGGTACTGCTTTCAATATTTTACTGGTTGTTTCGCATCCGATGTCCGTTGCCACCCCTAGCGGGAGAACGGCTAGTCCGAGACTTGTTAGCCGGCCTCTAGTCGATCTTGTCCAGAGATTAAGGGCCGAATGCGACGTACCGGTCCACCTGGAGGTCCTACGGCCCGCGAGTTGGACAGCCCTTGAGAAAAAACTGAGCCAACCGGGAAAAGGTCTCTGGCATTTGGTCCATTTCGATGTTAACGCCAGGGTCACCAGAATACCGCGGAAAAGTACCACGGGCCAGAGGGTGCCGGCAGATACAGACGAGGTTAGTCTGTCTTTCGTTTCGGAGAGATGCCCTCAAAAACGGACATGGAAGACTGCACATGAGGTTTCAAGCTTGCTTGTCTCAAACGGAGTGAAATTTGTCGTTCTCAACGCTCCAAGAACCGCCAAGTCCTTTGGCACTGTGTCATCGAATTTCGGGGAGGCGCTGGTGCAGGATGGCATACGCGCGGTCGTAGCGTTGCCAAATAAGATACTAAACGCCGGAGCTGAGGTTCTTATGTCAACCTTCTACCGATGCTTCCTTGGGGAGACATGGGATTTGGCTGTGGCGCTCTCGGAGGCTAGGAGAGCGATGATGCGTGTTAAGAACCGAGAGGGCCGGTTCGGCGTTATGGTTCCCCTTGACGACTGGATCGTTCCGGTGCTCTATCACAACGGCGCGACGGAAGTTTCCGTTGTCAGGAGCGACCCGGCCATGAACCTCACAGTTGCCTCAAAAAACACCGTTCCTGACCCTAAAAGGTTATTAGGCAAGTTTCAGGGGTTACTCTCCAGCGAAAATACCCGATCGTCTGATGCAATTACCGCCGACAAGGTTCCCACGGGGCGTGAAGAAATTTCCGGACGGGAATACGATATTTTCAAAATAGAGCAGCTGCTTGATAACAATATTTTGCATCTCACCGGCGTGCCTGGGGCGGGGAAGACGAAGTTGATGGCACACTTAGCGTGGTGGTGGAAGGCAACTTCTTTGGTCGAAGAGTCGTTTTACTTCGATTATGACAATCAGCCTTCGTTGACTCCGGGGATGTTACTGTCAAAGATCTACCTCCAGCTATTTACCCGTGGGCCTGCCGAGACGCATTGCAAATCGCGCCGCACAGCATCCCCACGACGGTCGCCCCCGGACCCTAAGGGAAACTTTCTAACGCAGTGGTCCCTATCAACTTCGCGCGCCTCCTCTCCGACTAGTGATACAAGTGATGGCGTCGGTGGCGAGTGTTGGATGGGAAAGACACTCCATAGACTGAAGGAGAGACCGTATTTGATTGTTCTAGACAGTCTCGAAAGTTCCGAAGCGGAGATCAAAGATGATGAAGTACTTAGGGGAGAGGTTAATGAATTCTTAAAGATGCTACAAGGAGGTAAAAGTGTGGTTGTTGTCGTTGGGAATAAGAAAGAGAGCTGGCTTAACGACAGCCTCGTAAGGTTTGACAGATACCATTTGAATGGGCTTGGTCTGTGAGTGTATATTCGCTTCACTTTAGTGAACTATAAATGCTAATAGGCTGCAGTGACCAGGCTGTTGATCTCGCGGGGTTTATACTGGAGAAACGCGGTGGCGATAGAAAAAAGTTTCAAAGCGCGGAGAATAAGCATTACTTGGAGATGTTGCTTCGGCTTTGTGACTTCAATCCTCTGGTCATGGTTTGTGCCTCTCCCTAATTCGCTGTCTTAACAATACTGCTTGGTGCTGATAATGAAAATCTCAGGAACTCACTCTTCCGGGAGTCGCACAGGGTCGTGCGGGACCAGTGGAGATTTTACTTGATACTTTACAGAGCGAAACAGCTCTCACTTGTGCGTCGTCAATTAAGCCACTGCGAAGCCTTTCTTCGTTTCTTTCTAGGCTGGACAGAGATTCCAAACAACTACTACTATGCCTAGCGCCGTTTCATACTCGCCTTCCGAAGGAGATCATCCCGTACCTTCATTGTTTGCTGTACCACAAGGCTCTTCCAACCACTGCTGACACAGGCACAATGCAATTCCTTTTATCAAGACCACCATCAATTCGGGAGAATCGGCAACTGACTGCTATTCTCTCCTCTACCGGCCTCCTTTCCCGGTATAGGTATATCGTTCGAGACCTGTTAACAAAAGACTTTCTTCAAGAAGACTCTTCTGCAACGTCCTACCACATCCATCCATTATTAACCCTGTTTCTACGTCAGACAATATCAAACGGGGGAAAACGTGCGAATTCAAATTACGGCATTGAATACCCTCTTGTCACCCATGCCTTTCTAGACTACCAATCTCAACGAAGTTTCCTTTGGTCGCAGGTCCCGGCCGAAACTTACCTGAATGTTGAGAAAGAGTTGGAGCTGGAAGAAAACAACTTCCTAGAGGCAATATGGACCCCGCTGGGACATATCGATCCCGCTTCTATTTTTTCTTCGTTCCCAGTGCATGCATTCGCCCGGTATGCCTCTATCGCAACTATGCAGGACCTGCAATTAAAAGTTGGACTAGTAAAGGAGATTTGCACCCAAATACTGAAGCGTTTCGAGGAACTTAGGAAGAAAGCTAGCCAAGGCGGGAGGATTGGCGAGGAGGCTCTTGTGGCAGCACTTTTTGCCTCGGGTTGGCTATGCGAGTATCATGCGGAGGGAGATGAAACGTCCCAATTCAAGAAACAAGTGGAGACTTCCACTGAGCTGATTGGCATGGCCAAGGATATAGGAGGGTGCCTGGAGAAGTTCTCGGTGCTTGGCGAACAATGTGCTATCCAGAGGAGCATTGCCGTGCAGGATGGTATGACCGACGGGCTTAAATTTCGGAAACCGTGGGCGGGATTTCTCGCGGAATACCAGGATCCGAAGAAGAAAAAGAAGGAGGAGGACCATGCGGAGTGGAGCGCTCTTGCAAAAGAGTTTATCAGACTTCAGTCGATTTCCGTGCAAGTTCCCCTAACAGGGCGCTTTAGTGATGGAATGCGGTTGTCACTCAAGGGCCAACTTTCAAACATCTACTCAGAACTTGTTGAGGCCGTTCGAGGAAGTCCCCTGTATGTTTTTCTTTCAATATACCCATGGATCCCGACAACCCTTCATAGCACCCTCCCCTCCGAGCTTCCAATGCTGTCCTCGGAGCAATTTGTAGCCTACCCCGCCCTCCTGCAACTCCACCAAGCCCGCTTCGACCCCCCATCAACACTCCCGATCCTCCAAAATCTACTGGCAACAGCTCTCACTCACTCCCTCCGAGACCTCGAGCTGTCAACACACATCCTCCTCGCAAAGCAGAACTTTACCCTGCACTCACTGACCGCAACCCTCTCCCACTGCGAATGCGTCACCGCCCTCCTCCCGCCGGGTCCGCACCTCCTCCCTCACCATCTTCCTACTCTCTTGCATGTCACTTTCCTCGCAGCCCTAACCCACACCCACCTCCGCGCCTGGGGGCTCGCGCTCTCAACCTTCAATATCACTCTATCCCTGGCAATGCACCTGACAGATACTACAACGCAATACTGTATACTCCGCAAACTCTCCGTCGTAAAACGCGAATCCGGTCTCGGGCCCCCAGTGGCTGAGACCCTCCTCCGTGCTTTGGATCTCTCCTACGCGGCAGCCCCCCAGCCCGTATTTACAGACGAGCGTGGCGTATTACTCCAACGCATCTTCTCCGCTGCGCGCTCTGGAAGAGCCGGAGAGAGCATGGAAAGTATAATCGAGCGGTTTGCAGTGAGGAGAGGATGGGCCATCAAGGAGATGAAGAATTTTATCGAAGACGTTATCACCCTTGAAACGAAGATTGTGCGAGGCGGGGCGGAGGTGGGCGCTGGGAGCACTGAAACGGAGCGGGAATTGAGGGGGATGTATGCGGAGGCGGAGAAAATGTTGCTTGTCAAGAACAAGAGGAATAGGGCGGGGTATGAGGCTGGGAAAAGTATTACTCATTATGTGGCTGTTTGAGGCTGCTCGTTCTCTAAATCATGTCTATTTTATTTATCTTTTGATATTTCATTCTTTTCTTTTCTCGTTTAGATGGGATATGTTTACGCATTTGGTGAGATCGGTTTGGGATATAAATAGACTGGGGCTCGATGGCGTTTTCTATTTTTTTTATATTTTTTTCAGGAATGAGGGGATGGCGGTTGGTGGCTTTTCACTTCTACGTTTATTTCAATTTCACTTGATTCCGGTGTACAACATCTCTCTTTCCCTTCCCTTTAGACTTCATTCCTCGAGGTACGAATGCGGTACAGGGTACTGTTTTGTATGATAGACGCCAATTTATCCCTTCTACGATGAGTATCATACCGAATGCTTTGAAATCTCGCGCTACATTGTATAGTACTTTGGTAGCTGAGAAATGCCAGATTGGATGGCTTCCCGTGTGGTGCGCATTTATATCAATTCCCCCTTTTCCTTCCTTCGCCCTCTGGTGTTGGGTGTATCATACTGTAAAAACTAGAAGAGCTGAGAATCACGTTAGACGACCAGAATCTACCCTATTGGCTTCGGGAGGGAAAACCCAGCGGAAAGGTTCCCTTTTTTTTTTAGCCCTCAGTTGAAGCCAATAGAAAGGAATGGGGCAAGTACAAGGGACCCCACCAGGAGGGACAACTCCGACGTCCCAGAGAGATTCTCAATTCTTCCAGTCCCCACGGTATCCCCTCACCAAGGGTGCACAAGTGAACATTTCCTCAGAATGTTGGTCAGATATCATCCCTCCTTACCCCCAACCAGTTTCAAATGATCGACCATACCAGGACAGTTTCCACTGCACTGCACTGTGAGAACGCCGAATGGCCCCCCACGGGCCAACAGGGTACACAGGACCGGGGGGATACCTCCTCGCCGTGCTCGCCGGCCCCCCACTATCATTTAACGACGTCTCCCTCAACCGTGGTTCGGCTCCCTGCGGTACTGCGAGGCACCGCACAGTAAGGCGCTCCGGTGGCGCTCCAAATGCGACCTCATCCTCTTTTGCAGGCATTTTCGGAAGCAGGAACAGAGAGATAAGCGGGGATGATTGCGAGTTCCGGAGATTGCAGAGATGCTAAGGGTCACACAGTCCTCCCGGCGCCAATTTTTATTGTATGTATCGATGCTCTCGATGAATGTCGGGAGGGGCATCAATTCAAGGTCCTTGCCTTACCAAACTAGGGTTCAAAAAGGGCAGTGATTGTGTCTATAAGTTCCAGCAGTGGCCATATCTCTGGATTTCTCCGATGCAGACTGGATGCTTTGGGCGGTCTAGAAGAAGCCGTTTTGAAAGATGCTCGTCGTGAAGCTATCATACATTGGGAATGTATGCAAGAGAAAAGCCACAGGGAAGCATACCCAGATCGTCCCCTGACAGATATGTGTTTAGATCCCTGCTGATTTTCTTGAACACTAGGGAGATCCTGAAAGACGTGGCGATCTACAGGGGACATGTTCTAGCCCATGAAGGGATTCCGCTTGTCAAGGGATCCCGGACGGACCGGCCCACCAGGGATAGCTATACGGTCGAAGAGAGAAGCCGGTAGAAGATTCCAAAAATGGAAGAGCCACAGCCTCGCACTCGGATCATTCTGGATGGTCGAGTTGTAACAGTGCACACACTGGCTGGAGACTCCACCGCTTAGCTAGGTCTATTCCAAGTCACTCTCATTGTTCATGTGAGATTGAGGACTGGCTAGATAGCGCTTTTCCGATACCGGAACATCCATGTAAAATCCTTAACCGGTTTTGAAAGAAGAATGGGTCAATTGACCGGCAAGTATGAAATCATATCATACGACCCATAATTCATAAAGATAATATTATGATATATACAGTAGAAATAACCAAAATAATAATAATTAAATTTGCAATTACAATATCACCACCAGGTATACCCTTTATTTTCTGCAATAACTGCCTCTAAATATTAGAGAGTTGATTGATAAAGGTCTGCCCTATCTCTCTATAAAGGTTGTAGGAGTATGATATGTCCTATATGTTATGATCACTGGGGTTTTAATCAAGTACACTTTATTTTAAAGCCTAGTCACTATTAAACTAGAGTTCCCGAATGTGATCCCTCTGCTCGTAAGAGATTTCATGGGTCTTTATTAAAGGTATTGTTTAAACTTATTAACTCCTCATGTTATTGTTAAAATCAAGCTGGATATCATTTTACCTGTTTTTACTTACTAGCACTCGGTCAATTGGTGATAATATTTGGCTTAACTATCATCTACAGTTATTAACACTGGGAATAGGTTTCTTTGAGTTAGTATTCATAGACTGTCTTTGTACCTACCAATACTTATATCATACCAACAGGTTTTTACCGCTCCATGTTTTTGGACACTTATGGCCTAGGATAAGTATCGGTGCCAGAGATCGGGCCGGGTTAGTAGTGGCTATAAGATAAGCTGGTGATTACTTAGCTTTACCCTGATCTCTCTTGGTAGATATACCGCAGCTCTACCACCTCTTTGAGACATTGACCAAGAACAGAGGAAGTAGGCTCAGAGACAAGAGGAAAGAAATTCATGAGAACACTCCTCTACCCGCAAATTCTTAAGGGAGTCGCCAAAGCCATCCTGCAGTGACTAAATCACAACACCTATAAACCACCTATATGAGTTGGGATCAAAATTTTGTAACGGAATAGACGAAATTTGAAAATTTACTCCAGAACACAGTGCCCCTTCCCTCAAATATTGAGGGGGGTTCAAGGAGGGGGGGTGCGGGGAAGTAAAGAACTCTCAGCAGATTAGATGTGTTTTAAGCTACTCTAGGACGGGCAAGTGAACAATCTCCTGAAAATCTGGGGTCACAAATTGCTCTCTTCCCTCCCCCCCCTACTTGACAAAGAAGAGAAAGAAAAAAACGTCCACAACTTAAAGCAAACCTGACGGAGACTATATATTCCCCAGAGCTCCGCAATTATTATAGCGAACTCCCCAATGCCGACTTCTTCGGCATCGCTTCGTCTTAGGCTACGCTTCTCTATCCGAGTGATACGCATACTATATCAAAAAAAAGAAGAAAAAACTACTTTGAAAAGAACGATCTACTAGTCAAAATCCTAACCTTATCAGTATCCAAATGGTCAATGATGCAGGTGAAATGATGCAGGTGGAGAAAGTGAATTTTCGCAGTATCGATTGAAGGACATCTCGCGAGAGGACGGTGGAATATTTAGCGGTAAAACCGATATTTTAAGTCACCGGTGCCATGCGAGAAAAATGAGGTCCTTGCGCCGGATCGATGGAAGTAGAGTTCGATCGTTGAGCTACCCTAATACTCCACCGTTTTCAAAATTAATTTTTTCTTTGCAAAGTAAGTTACGCCTCGGGCTTGATTCGGGGTGGCTCTGGTAAGAATGCCAGGCTAAGAAAATGAGGGGAATCATTTGAACTCCCAGTGTCATAACACGCGTATATATTGTGGAAAGCTTTGAAGAGTTCATAGGGAGTTTCGACACTACGTGCCAAGGTCGGTTGACGAGGTTAGCCCCCCCCCGCACAGGCCTAAATGACCAAGAATGCGTGAATAGATTTGAGGGTGATGGTGGAACCAAAATTCATCGCCGCACACGACATGAGTACGTGTTCAAAACGGAGAATGTATCACTGCAAAGGTTTTGGCGTTGCATTCCATGTTTTTGTTTTTATTTTGTTTTTTTGCTGCGTGACCCCCGTGGAAATTTAAGCCCACTCCGTTCCTTAAATAATCCAGCTATCATACCAGTAGTGGGCCCCGGGTGTTTATTGAATTTTCTGCTGAAAGGCAGATTGGAAGTGAACAAGGTTTGGAGGGGTGGGGGGTATTGTATGTGGCTGTGCCCAAGGCAGCTTGTTAGCAATTGGTCACCCTTATCATTCAGCTACATCCCCTTGGAGTGATAATTTGTGATTTAGATTTTCGGTACCCCCAGGGGTTATGAACGTATTCCCTTCTAGACACCAAAGGGTCTAAAAAACATCGATCTAGTAACAAGGACTACCATATTTCTCTTGGCTGCGGCTGCCCTGCGTACTTTATAAACCGCGTTGAGCGGGGGTGGGTTTGGTGCTACGTAACCCTTGTCCACTTCCCGTATCAAACATATCCCCCTATTTCCCCCATCATCCCCACCCCCGAGCGAGACCCTACCAAGCAGCTTAAGCAATCATGCCGCCCAAATCTCTCCCCCCTGCTAAACTCCAGCAGGTTCTTGCTCACATTCACTCCCTAAACACAACGTACACTCTAAAAGACCTCGAGAAGCTCATTCCCGCGGCGACCGGTGTTTCAGGAATGTTGGTGAAAGACTACCTGACCGCACTCGTTGATGAAGGACTCCTTAGGGTCGAGAAAATTGGTAACGGGAACTGGTACTGGGCTTTCCGCTCCGAGGAAACAAATAATAAACGGCGGATTCTGAAGAATTGTCTCGAGGAGAAAGAAAAGCTTTGCTTCGCCATCTCAGGGCTGAAAAGGGAAATTGGTGAAATAGGAGCGGTTGGGGGAGAAGGGAACGAGGAATTAGTGAAGAGGGTCCAGGGATTGAAGGTGGTAAAGGCGGGTATGCTGGCTGAAATCACGGAGTATGAGGAAGAGAACGTGAGTAGATTTAAGAGAGAGATTGACGAGATGAGGACTAGGATTAATCTCACTATTGGTAAGGCTCACCCCGCCACCCTAGTTTCCGGCTAATTGGGTAGACAATCTTTACACGTTGGAGAAGTACGTAAAAGATGTTACAGGTGGAGACAGAGAAGCCCTGGATGGTTGCAGAAAGATGTTCGGTATGGAAGAGGAGATGGAATATCTCTAAATGCACTGAAGCAAGGTAAGTTAACGGTGCCTTCAGCTGGGGCATGGTGCTGTAAGTAAAGCCACTCATTGGGGTATTGTTTCTAGGATCACGGTATGTCACTCTAGTTGCCTTATGACCTGAGCTGCAAGTTTACATAGCACACCACACAATACAGTCTGATATGGCACGGTAACTTGGAGTAAACTTACCAGGGGTAGTTAGCTGGGCCAATATGGGAATACGCTTTCTATCTGGAGTGGGGTAGGTGAGGAGGGGAGGATTCAAACACGGGGTACAAAGGGGGAAGAGGAAACTCGGTCTTTGTATTTTCAAATACACAGCCACCCCCAAGCAAGACTATCATAGATCCAACTTGGGTCTCCTCAACAACGCTCTCCTCCATACAGCTCTCCTCATATGCTGGGGAATTCTAATCAAACTGCCCCCAGGTACTTGTACTAGGACCTGCATGTTGGCAACCCAATACCCGCCCGTTAATATGAATAAAACATAATCTACCACACCGGGCACTCTCAGGCTTAGCCGGGGTAAATTCCCTGAGCATTAGGCAGAAAGTGCACCCCTGCCCCTATAGGATAAATTAGGAGTCAAGCGGCTATCATTCGCCCCATGAACATATCGGCAACATAGACGTTGAGACACGATACCGTAATCGTCGGATCTATCATGTAGAGTTATCAGCCCCAGCCCTCGGCCATCCACAAGAGCGGCATTCAACTACCCAATGCCAAAGGAGAAAGGTTATGAGTTTACTTGGTGGGTAGGGCGTTAGGCTAGGGGGGAGAAATGCCCGATTGGCCTCGCTGGCGCGCAATCGGGGCATGGAGAATGCAGTACCTGAGCCCACAAAGCTTACCAAAGGTGCCCTAAAGTACATGTACAGTAGTGTAAGGGGTACCTAACTATGGAGGAGTTTCATGGGGCAAAAATTTGCCACAGGAGTGGACCCCGGTGGCTTTGAGTTTGTCACCTCAACTTTGGCGAGACCTATGAGAGGATGAGAAAAGGGACACGATTACCCAGCATCTAATTTTACAGTGGGAGGAGCCTTTCTTCTTTTCCAGGGCACCTTGCAGCTGCAAACTACAGTAGCGGTACTACGGTAGTACGGCAACCGTTGTTTGCAATACGGAATTCTTCGAACACCGCTTGGGTATGTGTCGCCCTGTACAGTGCCGTCACTTTCCGGGATTTCACAACGGGGTTGGAGCTGAGAACGGGGAACACCCCGCTTATAATTACCAATCGAGCTCGATGGCATTAACGCTCTATCTTCTTCACTCACTCGTATGTTCTGGATCACGACTACCGTATAATACTATGCGGCGAACCCTGGATCGTTCCTCCATGTTCCAAAAACCCTACCGCCATAAACCCCGCGGCAAGTAGTCCAATGACAGCCGCGGCATGTATGATACGTATGATACATACCTTCGAGAATTTTTGTGGTTGGGGTGAGGACTTTGCTTTCTCCTTTCTCCTATTCCCGCTTTAATCTCACGAGGGGGTTACTGGCAATTTTAACCCCTCAGAGCGATGTTTACTTGTAGTTGGGCTACAGTACACGGTACACAGTCTCGTATTCGCGAGCCGCAGAGGTTGTCCAACGTCGCTCCTCCTCCCGTTACACACACCCACGCCGACCGCACCTTTCCGAGGTGCTCGTTGCCAGAATCGGCGGTTATGAAATTTCCCCTTGCTTAACAACCTAAATCAAGCCTCCCCTACAAAGCCCCCCTCCCCCCCTATCGCCATCTCCCCCTAACAGATGCGATACGGTGTTGAGGTTTCTGCAGGGGCTCCCAGAGCATCCTGCTCGGGTGCTTAGCCCCTCCACATTGTGGGCCAAGAGTGAGTGGCTAGTGGCATGGTCCTAGGTCGGAATAAGAATCTGACAGGCTAATGTTTTGAGATAAGATGGATAAGATGGGAGGGGTGCCATATTAATAGAAAGGTGAAGATGGGATTACCGGCACACCAATACCGGTAACGCGATCCTGCACTCGACGCAGTGCCCAGCGCGTGCGCGCCGTGTTTCATGTCCTGACAAGTTGAAAAATCCCCGCAAGGGGGAACGGTTTCGCACTTTCTTTGAAAAAAGACCATTGTCGCACCGTGCCTGGCTCAGCATTACGTGTTTGGGTTTCGGGTCCTGTTCTCCACAATTTTGAGACGAGGCCGGCTTTTGAAAATGGCGAATCCACAATTTTCCAAGACGCCTGTGTGCAATGAGTACGAGTACAGTACTCGAGTACGCACAGCGCTGTACCGGTGCCGTAACTCAAGCCTCTTGCAAGGTTCGGTTTGCCCGACGAAAGAGAACTGTGCGAAGGCTCCGACAACCTACCCCGTTGTTCATATTCCGCAGCCTTTCCAACCAACACGATATTTGGAACCAAGCCACGCGGTATTCTGGGAGAGTCCTTCAATCTCCTGATCGTGTGGCTCCTGTTATCACTTGCCGGATCGCTGGTTGGGACAACAAGCTCCCACTCCGGAGCTCGAGCCTAGTCTTCTGAAAGGGGTGGATGGTGGGCAGTGGAGAGGAGCCGCAGGGGAGAAATCGGAAATCGCATCTTCCCAGCCGCTGACGTTTTTTTCGAGTGGTCTGTGCTCTGATTCAGGCACCAAAAACATCATCAGGGACAGTTCGGTCGGCACCGGCACCGTACCGCACAGCTCAGGGGTCGGGACCACGACATCAGGCTAGCTTGGGTGTCCGGTACTCGAGTAATGTACTGGTGGGCGTGGGCAGAAAAAGTGCACCATGTTGAGGCGCAGGTGTGAGGCTCTACTCGCACTTATTCTCTGCGCTGCGGGATGTCGCGTGCATGCGCAGGATGGCAAATTCAGAGTGCACTGCATCTCTCCATTGGTTGTCGTGAGACCAGTCCTCTTCCGAGAAGCGCCTCCTGTAACACCAACAGAGCCCCGCTGGCTTACCCAGTAGAAATTTCTTGGACCCACCGAAGACTAGCCGGTGTATCTGCAAATCCATGGTCTGCGCCTCACCCGGCAGCCCCCTTTTGCGGGGTAGGATGGGGGTTGACTGTGGCGAGCAGTAGCTACCTGACACGATTTACCGCGCGAACGTCGCAGGTTGAGGACTGACCAATTAAGTTTGCACTCCTTGGAAGGAGTACCCGAAAACCCTCCTCCCGCCGATGATGGTGCAGGCTTTTTAAAATGTGGTAGTGCCGCCCTTTCCCAGAGACTCCTATTCGCAAAGATTCAAATCCTGCTTCTCATACGTGGTTTTTTTTGTTTTTTTCCCTTTCTTCCTTCTTCTTTCGTTCTTTGGTTTTCTTTTCCACTGGTGAGTCTTCCTATTCTAGGCCTTGTTAGTCTCATAGCATGCACGATACAGCAGGATATCATTTGATGGTACCGTAGCTGGTGAACTTTTTTTTTACCAAAAGCGTATGCCTTACTGACGTCGTGGTGATTTGTGCAGGCTGTGCCATACTTTCTTTTTTTCATCCACTCCCTTGATTTCATTGTTCAGCCTGCTTCATCTGCTTCAATCGTTCGGCCGCAAACATTGCCGCCTTCTCTACCCTCTTTATAAGAGTGCTTGGGCCTCCGCATCAAACATCATTCTCATCAGCAACTTCATCTCACACTTCACTCGGTGCTACCAAAGCAACATAAAAACACCAAAACAAAACATCAAGCGATTTCCAACGCTAGACTCGCCATAGAACCCGGCGGCGACTCCACACCACAAAAGACTATCCTACTTTGACGAGCTCATTGCACTGTCATCCTCCATTACCTTGCGCACTACCAAGAAAACATCTCAAAAGCCTACACAAATGTCCGTCATTATCAACCAGTGCCCCCCCCCTACCCCCTCTATCTCGACCGTCGCCGACACGACCGATCCGGTTCCTAGTGACTGCGGGCACCCAACGGGGTGCTGTCGGTGCTCGGTAGTCTATCAACCCTCTCTCCCAGCGTCGGATACGGTAACCGAGCCCGATACCTGGGGCCTCAAGGTCGTGACCAAGGGGGGCGGCAGAACCCAGAGGTCAATTCTAGCCTCTAGGAATTCATCACCTCCGCCCTTGCGCTGGGGTGCGTCGCTGGCTGTGGTGCGAATAGCGACCCGTATGCCTAGGGAGCGTCATCGGTCTCCCCCGAGTTCGCGCGATGAGGGTGAAGGATGTTCAGCGAGTGATACTGCAAGCGAGGGTTCCTACGACAGTGATGGATGCTTCAGGAGTGATGCTGCGAGTGAGGCAGAAATTTCCTAGAGTAGTGGAGGCACTAGTTTAGTCCAGTCATCAGGCCTGGAGCCGGCAGGAATGAACGAGGTTAGGAGAAGTTACGACCTGATTATGGAGTGTCTTTTTAGTTTAATTTAGGGTTTTTTTATTTTTATTTTTATTTTTAGCGGTCTATTGGATTGTAATCCTTTTATATCTTCGCGGGTCACGGTTTCTTTATTGTATCCTAGGGTTGTGGTTTCAATGTTTTGGGGTTTCGGTTTCCTTTAATCAGATCCCTGTTTTTGACTCCCTTTGTATATATCGCTTCTTATAGAGTATCCTTTCCTAGGTTCGGTGGCTTTCTAATGACCTTGAGTTATTTCGCCCTCCTGTACTTTTGCCAGTTTTCCATAATTTCAAGCCCTGATCGCAATCGCCCCTTAAGACCCTCCCTTTACATATGCAAGTTGATTCCTCCCCGAAAAGGGGTGCAAATCATGCCAGTATCATACTACGGTATTATCGCGAATACTTGGCCATACTCGTACCACTATCCCGTATCCTACCCCAATCCTATATATATCCCCCGCACTCTCATAACAGCCCCCCCCCCCCCCCGCAGGATAGATTGACATATTATTTCTAAACCCCCTAGCAGGAAAGACAAAATTAATAAAACGAGCAATGCATCGCCTGCAGCGCAAATCGACTACCGGTACCGCTTCCACCGCACCACTCCCATGCCATGATCTAAGAATTACGCTAATAAAACCATCCGCGTATTCCACCCCATGACGTAAACATTCTCACAACCTCTCACTCGCCACCGAGCAAGCGTTGTCAAGGCAACACCCAACAAAGGGGGGGAAACAAATTCCTCGCACATCATACGACGCAAAGGAGGAAGCACGACCCAGACCATCTCGATCCCTCCCTCCTTTCTAGCGAAGGGACGAAAAAAATTGGTACTTGTGTGTTTGGTTGGGTAGTGAGAGCATCTCGAAAGAGCCACAATGAGAGGCTGGCTTCCCGCTCAGCCAGTGGATTGCGAACACGCCAACTACAGTACAGTACCGCCTCCTCACCTACCCTCCCCCTTCCTTAGAAGCCCGAATGCCGCAGGTGGACATCGGATGAAGCGTATGACTGGGGCGCTGATCGGAAATTAGTCTTGCTACTTGCAGAGAGGGGCAGGGCAGAAAAAAAGGGGTCTGCATTTACCGGTATTGGAGGAAGCTATTTTTGTTTTCGTAGATTCTTTTTTTGTCATTCTCTTACGGTATTTTGTGCTGTGTATGTATCGTACCGTACCATACCATACTCGAGTACTACTAACTTATTACTGCATAATATAAGGCCCTACCTGCATGTTTTGGCTATTTTTTATTTTATTTTTAATGTGCTCCCGTGCCCCCCCCCCCCCTTTCCCTAGCTTTGCCTACCTTTGCCGAGAAAGGTTGGGATGAGCCCGTAGGAGAGCCGAGATTCGGATGGGGGTGGTGGTGGAGAGTTGATCTTGTGGTAAGGTATGCACACGGGGACCGGGGTACGGGTGCTTAGAGGGTTGTTACTTTTTCCTCCTTCCACCATGCATCTCGGGGTAGATTCCTGCGATGGACGGAAGTGTCGTTTGGAGGCATTTTTTCTGACTGGACAGCTTACTGAGTGGAGGCATGGTAGCCGGGGTTTGGGGAAATGTCACGGGGAGCATGAGTTAGTCATTGTTCGTTTCGGTGGGGGGGGGGGTGCATATACTCGGGATTGGAGGAAGGAGGGGATTCTTTTTTCCCCGGTGGAATGTTCTTTCCCGTTTCGTTTCGTCTCGTTTTCCAACGAGCCGCCTTCTATGATAGCGTTTCCAGAAACACTCCTGGCAGTGACGGCGGTTTCCTTATTGGAAGTTTAGTTTAATCTTATTCACTCTCCTTCTCTTCTCTTCTCTTCTCTTCTTTTCTTTTCTTTTTTTTTTTTCTTTCACGGAGCATTTTTATCTGATAATCCTCCGCTTACCGTAGTTACTACCGGCATCCCCGCCCACGGCGGTTTAAGTTACCAACCAACCTATCATACCCACCCGCATTACCCCCCCCCGCCGTAGCACACTGAGTCACACCCAGTATCCTATCATCGGCGAAACCCCTAAAAGCACCAGTATTGGCCCACCACGGATTCGCTTGCCCCGGACTTTTCTTTCTCTCTTTCAAAGTCGACTGCCTCTGCATACTTAACCTACATACATACACACATACTGTACTCGGGTACAGTACCTAATCAATTACTCTGCGGGCCCTGAACCGCACGGTACCCTGCGTCTCAACCAACAACTTGAGGGTAGGGGGAAAAAAGAAAAAAAATCAAGACAAACGCACCCCTGAAACTCATGTCTCTTAGCTCGCGCGGTCGTGCAATCACCGGAAATCACTCACGCACCTGTGACGGGGCTGACTAGGTTTGGGTGTCTGTGCTACGGCACCGGGTGGGGAGGGAGGGGTATGGGGTGCAGTGCCCTGCCCGCTTCTTGTATGGTATTGTGAACGTGATTGCCGGCCTGGAGTAGCTAGTTGGAGTATATACGCATGTGTGTATACGTATGCGGGGGGGCGGGGGAGGATGTGGATAGGGGCATGATATCACGGGTTGATCTATTACGACGAAGGATTTGGCTATCCCCGTCGGAGCACGTTATTCAGCTTCAGCTGTGGGAATTTTCAAGAGCCAGGTTATGTGTCATTGCGCGGGTGGACAGGAGTCTATGGCGGTGGGTATGGACATATGGTGTCACTCGGGCTCTAGTCATATGATAGTGAAGGTTTTGTAGGGCGTGGAGAGCGGTCGGGAGGCTTCGATCCGAGAATCTATAGATGCATGAGGAGATTTTGATCACCTTCTTTCGAACCATGGATAGCTCTAGGTTTTGTTACGATATCGTTTTTACGTTATTGTGACGAGATTCGGTGTATGCAGCTCTTACGGGGTATGTCCATGCTACAGTACCGTACTCGAGTACCATGCCACATTTTCAGTGTCTGTGGGGTTAATGCGAAAGGAAAACCCGACGGAATGCCGGGAGTTTTCGGTATTGTACATGGTCTAACCTGGTGTAATAGGCTAAGCGAAGGCAGGAGAATGTCATGGCAGTATCGGCACTCGGGCACTCTAGCCAATCGCCAAGGTGCATACATGCACTCCGGAAACATGGTTGTCATTACCGGTACCGGTATATGCATCCACTATGTAGACCGCACACCACCGGTATAAATTCCCCACCCATACCCTTCAACTATAAAATCGGCTATGTAATCCCGTAGAGGAGCGCCACACTCTATATGCACGGGTGCATCAACCTCACTTCCAAACGGTTCGATCCCACGAAGCCAGTAGGTAGTGGACGATAGCCAACTAAGTTACCCCCTACCCAGTACCACTAATCACTCCTTGATCCTCCGGTAGGCCCACTCCATACCGCCTTGCGCTACCAACCCAATCCAAGACGTAGCCCAGGAACATCCTGCTCGCCCGAGCCCCCTACCCCGCAATTTTCACCGGTGGCACTGGAACGGCGGTTACCAGTACACCCGTAAAACTTGTGCCATCACAATACCGGGTTACGGAACTTCCGGCCCCCACAAGGCGTAACTTTTCCTACCCACCGTACCCGACAGGCGATACCGCTGCTGCGGCCCGAAGATGGAATACCAGGTAGTGTACAGTACCATACGCCACCAGCCAAGTACCCAGGACAGCCGGGGGTAAGCGGTTACCGGTACAGCAGTCGCCCGAAGTTTTTAAAAACGACCAGGTCCGTATATCCCCCCCCCCCCCCCACGGGCTAATGCACAAGACCCACAAGATAAGTACCTTTTCATAAACTCGGATAATAATTAAAAAAAAGGCACTACAAACCAAGGGGATCCTTAGTGATGATCAGAAAACTTGGCTAGGAGGAGTGTGTGTACTGTACTTGCTAGCACTCTTTCTTGTTCAGGTCACTCTTTTCTTCAATTTCATGAGCCATTACTCCACATCTCATTTGGATATCTGGGCGTATGCGGACCCGGCGTTTTTTTTTTTTTTACAAACGTCGGGCAATTGCGAGTAGACGGCGCGTGAGTGGGCAAGTTCAAGCCGAGCGATGAGTCCTGAAGGGCTTCCAGTGCTTCGGTGCCGTATGTATGACCAACATATACGCTCAGCCCAGCCTCGCCCAGAACGGACAGGCATATGATGCGTATGATACAAAGGCAAAAAAAACTGCCTCCCCCCTCCCCCCCCCCCGAGCGTGGAGAGCGTCTCGGGATCTTTCCGATACTGTACTATATCTCCAGTGTTAGTGGCCGGTGCTCGGATCATGTAAGCTTCACCGGAGGTCATGTGCGGGGGCGGAATGCAAGGGGCACAGGGCACAAGCACGAGTGCAGTACTGTACCATCTAGTCCATGATAGCAGTAATTTGCTCGAAGCGCGCGCAGAGAAATAAGGTTTATGTCTACGGTACTATTTTCGGGTGGGGTGGGCCGATTTGGCGCTAGCGATTAATCCGGGGTTCTCCTCGGCGCATTAGATTTCAGTCGTTGTCCCTGCCTTAATCAAATCAAATCAAATCAACTCTGCGACCGGTGGATTGTATTCGCACCAGGAGGCGATATGGTAGTTTATATCACCGCTGATCACTCGGGCAATCAATTTCTACATATTTTACGTGCATGAAGTGCAATAGTTAAATTTACTTTACTCCTGCGGTCGCTGGTGGCGGCGGGAGATAGACTAATTTCGTTTTTTTTCTTCGCGGGGTGAAACTGAACAACGGGGCTTGGCGAGGGGTAAACCTAACCCTCCATACAATCAACACCTTCCGTTGTGATTCTAGAAATTGCCCTACGAAAAAGTGTAACAACCCATCGGCGCGAAGCCTTGTTTTTCCGTGGCCGTCAAGAATCCTACCGATATTGCCAGCTCAGGGATCTCGATCTTGATGCTATTAGGAAAAAAAAAAAAAAAAAAAAAAAAAAGAATTATGCCACCGTATCTCGTTCTCACGTGTCCCGGAAGTGCAGAAATTGATGGGGGGGAGGGCGGCAGCTGCAAGCAAGAGGGTTCGGAACGGCTGAACAATTTTTGGTGTCCCTGTTTCACGGCCTCGTCGCACTCATTGACCGTATCCGGCCTCACGGCGCCTGGAACAAATGTGTTGTTTGAGAAAATCATCGCGAAAGCGTGGCCGGGAGAGGGCTGCGGGCAGAAAATCGCCACCACCCCCCTCCCCCCGTAAGTCGGGGTGATTTGAGAGCGCGCAGTTAGAATAAGTAGACTGGACGGGAGATGGCTAACTGCGCTATCGGCCGTGACCTTTCTGGGGAATGTCGCCGTCCTTCGTGATGGACATAGCGGTAGTGTTAGTTAGAAGTAACTTATAATAACCCCGTGCTGTTAGTATCA